TCGGTTTCTGGGCTCTGCTGTTCAATGGCTAATATATAAATAAAAATATAACTCTGGTATCAGAGGAATGCTTGGTTGTTTTGTTGGTTTTTTTTTTTTCTGACTGTATTTACAGTCACAGGCTTTGCTTGCTTTGTGGAGCAATAAATTTAATACATTAGGCTAGTATATTATTTTTTAATTATTTATTTGTAGATTATTTCAATTTAAAATGAGATTTTCAGGTAACAAGGTAGGCAAACATGTTTAACAATGCCATGGTATAAATTGCTGTAGGTGACAGATCCCTACAAAAATTATTACAGGCAGATTCGCAATGCAAAAAATTATTTATATGACAGCGAGCAGAAAGACAAATTACTCAGAGACTATGTACATGCTTTTCTATAATTGCTCATAAATTATTATGGTTCATTTTAAAATGCATCTAGACTCCCTAGACAACTAGATTTATTTAAAATAAAAATAATGGGAAATTACCAGGAATGTTGGGGAAGGAGTTGCAGTACACACTTCGGGTGATTGCTAACCTAGAAGTACAGTAACTTATTGTCAGCCAACTTAATCTATAATTTGCTTAATAATTTTGAAACCTTCATTTTCAGTTCACTCTCTCCTCAGGTTGCATTAGCCTGGGTAGGTAACTGGGGTGATTAACCACCGTGATTAACCGCTGCGGTGTTTCCCTGCCCGTGGGGGACACGTGGAGACTCTCTCCCGCACCCTTGTAGGGCTCTTGTGTACCTGAACGCTTTCATATTCTACGGAACAGGATTGAATTGAGTCAGTTGGGTCAGAAGTTGTGCTAGCAGGGTGGGGGGACGGACAGATAGGTGGGCAAACCTCTTCCTTAGGAAGCGGGGCTAAAAAAGGGTCAATGTTTTTCATATCCTCTCAATGCTCCAAACTTTAGAAAATATTTCAAATAATTGGCTGTATTGAAAGTGTCTAAAATACACGCGCAATAGATAGGATTTAATTTGAATGGGCTTTCAGTCAGGCACTTATTAAGGATCAGCTGATTATTGGGTAGCAGAGAAAAGACGTATGTACATTTATTATATAGTAAGTGTCGCTCTCTAATGCTATTATCTTACTCTTCTCAGCACCCTGATTATATTATGTATCGAGAGCCAGCCCAACACAAATGACAGCAAACTTTGCTCTGGATAATGGAGTGCTAAACTCCACCTGAGCAGCTCCAGTCATTTGTAATGACAGCTTGGAGAATTCTCCAAAGGAGTCTAACAGTGCTCACGCTCCAGCGACTGACAGCGCAGCAAGAGGAAAAATTCCGGCTTCCACGTGAGTGCAGGGAGCCTGACCTAGATTTTAGCCTTTACAGCTTCATCAGAGGAAACATTCTTGACTGTGTATTTAACAAGAAAAAAAGAGCAAGGGGAAAAAGTCGTCTCCTCTTTGATTAGTCTTTCTTCAATAATTAAGATTTAGTCAAGGCGCTCTGTGAGACTTCTCCCCTCCGCAGATGTCATCAACCCTGTAATGAATGGTTACTCCGTTCTCTGTATGCTCTCCCCTCCGTAATTACCACCTCCTGGCACGCCGCGGGGAGCGAGCTGCTGCGGGGGACCGGCCGGTGCAGGCAGGGGCGATGCAGGCAGCTGCCTGCACCTTTCCCCTCCGCTGCGCTCGCTGTGTCGGGGTCAGCCTCACCGCTGGCAGCTCAATTTCTTCCATTCGGATACTGTTAATGGAAAAAAGGTCTCTAGTGTGAATCTCCTTTTCTTTCTTTCCTTCTTTTGAGATGCAGGGGCTGGGCTGGGGTCAGGTCACCGTGCCCAGTGTCTCCAGGGGAGCGATGGCCAGCGCTGCACCAGCCCCGCAGTCTCACTCTCCGCTGGGCGCAGCTGGACATGGCTTTAACCACCCTAATGACCTGGCTGTAAATTACCATTCAGATGTCTTTCGTCTATTCCACTGTGCTTTATATACTCCAGCAGTTGTAATTTTGAAAATAAAATAGTAGAGAAGGGCACACTAGAAAGGAGAAGAAATTTTCAAATGAGAGTGGAAGATGAGGCAGATTGAATGGCGCTGAAGGATGCTTAGTGTTCATTTGAGCTGTGCTTTGACAAGCTGTTTGGTGTGCATGTGGGAGAAATTTTATTGGAAGCAGAGGCGTTTTCAGCTTCCAAAGCTGGATTTCCATATTGGGTCAGTACCTAACTCCGTAACCCATCCTAATTGTGACTCTGCTCTCTGAAATACATAAAAACCGACACCTTTCTGCTTGACCCACAAGCTTTCCATGTGTGTCTGAATGTCGGTTATTCTTTATTGTGGTTTAACTTTGCTGAACCAGCACAGGTTTGAAAGCACTAGATGACATGACGGGATGAGATTGACAGAAGACTGACAGAATTAATTAGATTGTCTGAATTAGTTTGGATCTAAATTCCAGTTCTGAGCGCCCCTACTCATTTCAGCTTACACCCCTACTTAGACTTCTGTGACTTTGCTAAAGCCCAGGAGGAAGGATGCCTTCGAGAGTACCCATACGTCCCTCAGAACAGGGATGAGCCCTCTGGAGAGCTCAGTGTTGCCTTTCACGTCCTTGCTGAGAGAAGGTGGCTGTAAGCTCTGTGCTGCTCTTTAATTGTAAACTCACACCAGCCTGAAGAGCAGGGCTTAAAAAAAACATAGAGCTTTTGTGAGGAAGCTCTGCCTGGAGTACATTGATACTCACTCAATGTGAAAGCCCTCACAGCCAGCTATGTAAAATAATTTATCATGTCAGAACCAGGCTTTAATGTAAAAGTGGATCGGATGGGTTTGTAGGACTGGGAGATTTGGGTTCTTCTTCCAGCCCTGCTGCTGGTTGCCTGTGTCTGTATAACACCATCGCAGGGAGAGGTGAACGCAGTGTTTCGTGGGGTCCTGGCAAGAGAATGTTTGAGTTACAGCGTGCGGCTTTGTTCATGGTGAAGGATGCGGTAAACCTGGGGGGATACACTGGGCACAAATACTTCAGTGCATGATTTTCAAGTAACGATTGTCCAGATTTGTCCTGTTCTGTGTGGCACTAAGCTGTGAGAGGGAGGACACAGAGGACAAAGTGATGCTGCAGTGAAGAAAAGGAAAGTCAGTAAATTGCTACCGGCCTTTCATTTTATGTCATTAACAGTAGCTGTTAAAAGCAAGAAGCAATGAATTTTAATTGAAATCAGCAGGATGTTTTCAACAAAATGAGTATGGAAATGAAAATCTAAGTTAGCCAAAACCCTGTGTACCTAACTTCAGGTGAATGTTTTGGTTTGGGGGCATTTTTGTTGAAGTAAGAAGTCAGTCGGCACAACCAGCTGCTGCGTTTGCATCTGTCTGTGGGGTGGGCGGCAGGAGCAGGAGCCTGACCCACACCGCTTGGGGTGAAGGTGTTGTACGATCTCCCTTCGCCTGTCAATACCTCCTGACAGTAGATACAATAAAAGTATAGTTTTGAGTAATGGGTTTCCCTTCCTTCTTGAGCCTACGATAGTTTGTTTTACAAGTTAAACTTGTTTTACAACGAGATGTTACATGGAAGTTTGTGTGTTAGAAATGTATGAAAGTGGTCGGTGTCAACAGGTTTAAAATATGGTGCAGTTGCATGGTTCACGTGGTTGCAGTACAATTAAAGCTGATTTACTGCAATGGGGAAATTAAAACCTTCCATTTATCACGGTTAGTTTTGAAGGTTTCAAGAGAAGCCTGAAAAAATGGTAGACGTAATTTAAAGGCCATAAAAGTCACTAAAAAAAAGGACTAGATCTGGTATTCCACCACATATAGAAATTTTGGCTCACTACATTTGTTTAGAACGTAAATTAAAAAAAAAACAAAACACATAATGAGTGAATGCTGTTGAGAATGTATATGAAATGAAGACTGTATGAGAATATCTAACACTTAGAGTTTGAGAACTGATACTGTAAATGCAGAAGAGGCAACTTGAACCTTACTTGGTTGAATTTGAGGCAGCTACATCAAGGGTAGAGATGTGCCACAGGTGTAGCTGGATAGCATCAATACATTCAAAAAGCTACATGTTTCATCATGTCTGTTAATTTTAGGTACTGTATTTGCCTATTGATGATCTGCCTTTGCAGTCTTTTCCTTTGCTTGTATTCTTGGTTGACTTCCAGGCTTACAGTTTTCCCAGCAATAAAAAAGATTGAATTAAAAGGTCTTTGATATGTGAGGGGGAGGTACATGTTGATATCTATGCATGTTGTAGGATTATATTGTAACTAAGATGATTTAAAATAATGGGAGAAAAAAATTGTAAGGAGAGGTAATCTTTTATTAAACTGGCTGACATATGCTCATTTTTAAAGTGATGTATCAAGAAGACTGTTTCAAAAGTTTTTGCTAAACACATATCAAAAGATCCCTTTTCATATTTGTACAATTCCTCTATTAAGCTTGATTGCATAGGTAGCACGTTGTAAGTGTACCCTGTTGTATATAATACATATCTCTACAGTTTGAGTAGGCTGTAGGGGAAAAAAAGCTGTGTGGAACTGCCTTGAAGAGCAAATGATAAATGTCACATCTGTTATTTTTTTTTTACATAATGAAATTAGCAGAGGTGGATGCAAAAGTTTTAAGGGGTAAGATTGGGATCAGATGCCAACGTACATTTTTCTCCAACAAGGAATTAAACAATTCAAAACTGGTTTACTGGGGCAAGTAGTTCAGGTGAAAACACTTGGTTATTTGTTAAAGAATTATTTTTTGGGGGAGGAAAGTAATGATATTCTAAAGAAATGGAATTGAGCAGGCCCAATGTGCTCTATTTATTGCCTGCACATTCGCATTTACATGTAACTAAAAAAGGTGTATAAAACCCTTTAATTGCCAGTAGCTGCTTCAGGCTTTTCACACTGTTATGAAACAACGGTTCTTTTAATTAATTTCATTGCATTTCACAAGCTGCCTTTCACTATCTTGAAAAAAATATATTTGTATCTAATATTTCTTTATTATTGTTTTGCTTTCAGTTGATGGTTGCATTGACTGGTCAGTGGATCTCAAGACATACATGGCTTTGGCAGGTGAACCAGTCCGAGTGAAATGTGCCCTTTTCTACAGCTATATCAGAACTAATTATAGCATGGCCCAAAGCACAGGTCTTAGGCTTATGTGGTACAAAAACAAAGGAGATTTAGAAGAACCCATTATATTTTCTGAAGTTAGGATGAGCAAGGATGAAGATTCAATATGGTTTCACTCGGTTGAGTTGCAAGACAGTGGTTTCTACACGTGTGTTCTAAGGTGGGTATTGTGTTAAAGTATAACTAAGAATGTACAGATTGTCATGGTTAAAAAAATGTTTAAATTTAGCTCTCAGGAATTAAGATATTCTTCCAGTTAATATATACTCATTATTTTTATTCTCATAATTATATATGTCACATAATGCTTTGTCTCAAAATTAGTTTCCCTAGTAATTATAGTTACCTCTTCCAATAGCTATAATTAAACATGTGCTTTCCCTTAATTACTTTTTTTTTTAAGTCCATCATTTGCAAATCCTCAATTTGCCATAAACTTTCAGAACTGGATACTTAAATTGTGAAGTATTTTGGTTAAGTAATGCTCTTTTTCAAATACTCCGAGTTATTCAGGAGTTAGAGTTTGAATTATTCTGATGGGGTTAGGCCGTGGGGAGTTACAGTTCTGTTTGGTTTTGAAGAAATGTTTATTTTGATATACAATTATGATTTGCCATAAGTTTAAGCAGACCTCATTTGGTAACGTGCTGAAATGCATGTCTCAGAAGTATTTTGGAACTGTTGGATGAGCCTTAAATTAAGCATGTGCTGGAGCTCGTGATTTCCATCATGTGGATGTTGATGTCAGCTCTATGCCTAAAATGAGAAGATAAAAAAGGAGGACTCTTTAAGAACAGATGAATAAATACCCCTTGAATGATCCAGTTTTGAATTAAAAGGACTTTACGGATACTTTATATGATTTGGTTTTAAGCTATTTAGTGTCAGAGAATGAAGCTTGCTTCATCCTTGTCTGCGGTTCCATACTGAAATTATTCACAAGTTTGATGAATTCAATAGCAAATATTTGCAGGAAAATAACAGCACTGTTCAGAGCCCAGAATTTCCTCTCTCTCCAGCCCTGCTAAGACTTGCTGCCTTGTCTCAGCTGCCTCGGTCCTTTTTGATCCTGAAGAATGCTACTAAAATCTAAGATTGTGCTGTGGTGCATTGTGGTTTGGACTGGGGACCAACATCCAGTTTAAATATCGGATGTGTTTGCCAGACTCACTGTGTTGCAGGCTTTGGAGTTAATTACTCTTCTATCAGCTGCTCTGTCAAAGGTTTGGGGTAATGCGAACTCCATGATTTTGAAATATTATGGGAAGATGGTGATTTACATGGTTCAAGGGAGCTGTACTTTTTTCATAAGAAGCCACTGTTGTGATAATCAAGTTACCAGTTTAATATTCTGGAAATTTTAATTTGAATCCTATGTGAACAATGAAGAATTGATCTTGGATCAAATTCTGGGAGATACTTTTTTTCTGGGACATCTCAAAACTCTTTGCTCATTTACATGACAAAGTAGTTTTGGTAAAAATGGGCAAATTCTTAAATAATTCATGCATTCTCCTCATTTTCAGATAAAAACTATGTGGCATGCTCCTTGGAAAGCATTACACAGCAATAAGATCTTCCTTGTCAGTTATGCAGTTTTCCTGCTTTGGCTAGAACTTTCTTATATAATTACAGCTATTTTTGCCTTTTTCAGACTTATGTCAGAGTGTAGAATATTATATATAGTGGTTACATGTAGAAGACTATATTTCTTCCTTTACTGAATTAATTTTTCTTCCAAAAATTTGGTAATGTATTGTTGCTGTTATTGTTTATGAAATCATAGGTGGCTTAAAATAGCTGAGGAAATAGCAACAGTAATTTATTTTAATGTCATTAAAATCGAGCTAGATGTAATGTTCTGAAATATGATCACACTTTTGTGGTAGACTATCCACACCATTAACTGTGTAATTTCAGCTTTATTAATCCACTTTTTTGGAGAGGGATAAGCAGATGTTTGCGTTTTAGTCATTAACCAGGATCACCTGCTTTGTGAGAATTAAGAGGGCACAAATGAGAGCAGTAATTCTAGAATATGATTTTATTTTCTAGAAACGTTAACGATTTCTGTTACAAATGCCTTCTTTTGTAGACTACTGAATAAAGACTGGTAGAGAGAACTCAGTGCAGTGGAAATGAAGAGGTGACTGTCCATCAGTGTGCAACACTGGGATTAGGGTTCCATGCAGAGTTGACTCTTTTGGTTTGGTAGCTGATAGAAAAAAATGGGGAGGAAAATGCTTTTGATTCAAGATAAATGTAAAACTTTTGAAGTTTTTCCTCAACAAAGAAGTTTTTGTTTAGGTTCTCTAAGAGAAAATCAGAAGCAATTCAAATCTAAATTGATGTCTTTCTAGCTACTCACCAAGGACATGGGAAGCCCTGGTGCAATTCCACGTGCCGCCCGAAGGGTGAAACCCCTCATTTGCATGTCCCAGTCACCAGGCTGTGCGGCATTCAATCACTTCAAGTCTCTTGCCTTAGAACCCTTCTGTCTGAAATTCATATTTGTCTATGCAAAAGGGCGCAAGGGGGTGAGGCGCTTGGATGTGGTGCTGACGTTAAGTGGGGACAAGAGCTCCCTGGCCCAGAATTTTATGGCTTGCAAGGAAGGATATGCTCTCAAGCCGGGAAAATCTTTGATAGAAGGGAATTGAACACCCAGGGGTTTTAGCAAGTCGTATGTACAAGATGTCGCAGGCAATAGTGAGAGCTATGCTAGTGTGCTCTCCCCCAGCTTATTACTTTTTTCCCAGTCAGAACAACGTGGCAAATAACTGTATGGGGAAAATGACAGTTGCCCATTTCACTGAATTTCCTATTTGTTGAAAAGGTTCTTCACAATTCTAAAAAAAATCCTGTTTTTCAAGAAGCTGCATTTTCTGGTTGCTCACGGGTGCTTGTAGGATCCAGGCGTGAGTTATCCTTGAAGCAATTGGAAGGAATTTTTCAGAAGCTGCTTGAAAAGTATGAGCAGGTGAAGGATAGGCTGATATGACAGTGATTTGGAGCTGGGTAAAAACTAAATATGTTGGTGAATTCTTTCTTATACAGAATTGTCATTTCAATAATCATGATGTCTGTTCTGTAACTGAACCCATAATAGTGAAGAAAATTAAGGAATATTAGAGCAACCTTAATGAAAGAGATTGCTTCTCCAGGCTGAAGAGGTCTGACACCATAATTTAAATATTGCCTCTCCTTTATCAACCAATTAGACCTTGTTCTATAGGCAGGTGCGCGTGTGTATATGATAGGAGGAAATTACTGTTGCATTAAAACTTAGTTCTCTCTTCTCACAAGACATTTTGACATTGAGCTGACACTCAGGTACAGACTGAAGCGTGGTATTTTTCTCCAAGGTTAAGCATGGCTGTAACATATTAAGGGGTCCTCATTCTGCAGGGACTTTTAAAAGAGTGCCAAATTGAGCTGTGCTAGCTAACCCGTGTGAATTCCATGGATCTGCTTTGTTCTCAGGTGCCTTTTCTGTGCCAGGTTGGGGATAGTACTACAGCAAGATCTAGTGACATCCAAAAGGGGTCCTGACTAATGGATAGCTCTGTGTTTCATTACAGTTCCCAGATAAATGCTGGGACGTTTGTATCGTGACTTTAGTGCTCTATATGGAAATGCTGCATTCTGGAGGGCTCTTTGCGCTACAGGCTCTGGATATGCCATTAATCTTCCAGGACCCCCAATGCTACTTTCAGATAAAGCTGTCAGCATTTCTGTTACAGAGCTTTGGTGTTCTGGGATTTTCGCATCAACGCTCTGGATTGAAGCATCTTCACTGAAGAATTCAGAGATGAGAGCACCAAAACCAGACATGGAAACTAAAATAGATGTAAATACATAGGGTGGCCCTAAAGCTCTGAGTATGTCAGACAGGAATTTGCCGGATTATGTTCTGCTTTTGCTTTCTAAACAAATACTTTTGTTTTTCTGTGTTAAAAGCCTCTGCTTTTTAAAGTGTGAACAAGAACGGGGCTTACTCAGATCTTCTTAGGCTGATGAGAGAAGAGAAGATGTGGTAAGGAAGAAATCTCAGCAAAGTTTAAGCCACACATTTGCCCTCAGCAAGGCACTTCTCCTGGAGCCCTTTCTCCTAACTGGGCCCAGCTCTGAAGTAAACTCAAGTACTGAATAAATGCTTTATGAGCAAGATCAGTAAAACATTAATGCATACTTGCTGTTAATTAGCTGTTGGTGAAATAAAATGACTCAATTCCCATCACATGAATTGGGAGGGCAGAAAGTCTGGCTCTTGAGGGGGTGCAGGGAAAGCGGGAGGTGGAGGTTTGTGGTCACCAGACTGGCTGACGGAGCTAAGCCTCGATTTTTGTACAGGATGCAGAATAACAAGGGAGCAAGGGCCCTGAATGCCTATGAGGCAATAAGCCTGCAGATCTTTAATACCAGCATTTGATGCCAGAGAACTGCCAACAAATCGAGTTAGGAAATCTGCGTATCCTTTTTCCCTTACTTTGTCCCTATCTGCACAGTCCTTAATGGAGAGCAGCATTGCTGTGGACACGCACAGAAGAATCAAGCCTTTGCCGAGCCTTTGGTGAAATACTGAGATATTACTTTCTGAGCAGTAATAAAAAAGACTGATAATAGATTTTAAGCCTTCAGGCTTCTGAATGTCTGTGGAGCACATGATCAGCAAATCAAAATCAAATTTAGACAGCCTGAAGGGGCTGTCAGTAAAACTTCATTTGCAACGTAACCTTTGTGCTCTCGCTTCAGTGGGTGTTAGGAGGGCTGAGGAACTTGTTTCAAATGCCTACACCCTGGGCTGTGGTATGCACCCACCATGCCAGGAAAAGTTGCACCACTTTCCTGAGTGCTGAAAGTCTGGCTTCCAAGCGAAAGGAAAGAGGATTTTTTTTCAGGTCCAAACAGAGAGCAAACAGGAAAGTTGGACTAAATCATGATGTGAAAAAGTGTAGGGGTCAGGTCACTCTCTCTGCAGCCATCTCTCATGGTTCTTACAATATGCGCTTTAATAGAGTCATTCTTTTGTTGGTGGCAATATCTTCTCATTACAGAATGTTTCATGTTCAGGGGCTTTGGCTTTGTTCAGTGCTCAACTGTTCATGACAACAGTGATTTTGTATCTCAAATCACTTTGAACGCAGTCTTGTAATTCAA